AGCAGCCAACGCTGAAGATTTGTTGTATTTCTGTAGGTTCCAGATTTCTGAAATGATGGGAAACGAAGTGAACATACGTGACCCCAACACCACTGTCAATAAGATAGACGGTTGCCTTGTTACTGACAGCCGCAATGTTTACGACAAGTTGAAGAACGAAGTGATAGTGGCTAAGGGCGCTGAAAGAAGAACTGATGTCACTCTTATGAGGATCAAAGAAGGACAGTCACTAAATAAGGTGAAGGTCCGATGGGTCCACTCTGAGGCACAGCTGGCAAACGGACTGACTAAGGCGAAAGAACTAAGGCAACTTCTTTTGTTCTACCAGCTCGGCAGTGCCTGGAAGATAGTTGAAGATCCGACAATGTCCTCAGCAAAGAAAAGGAAGGAGAAGGGCCAAGGGCCTTTGGAGGATCAACCAGGAGTCTCGACAGACTCACCAGAACAACCAGCTCTCCATACCCAACCTCCACAACATACACCACATGTCCACAAGGACGACGAAGAGGTTTGATTTGCGGTTTTTGGTTTGTCGTGGTCGGTTGCTTGTGTTTTGTTGTTGCTTGTTGAAAGAAGGGACATTTGGAAAGAGGGTGGCATGCAAGTGTTCACTTGGACGATCATCCCACGATAGCTAGTGTAGTGATCGAGTCGCGCCGCGACCGAAGTTCTTTTGGTACAAGACATCCAGCAGACGGAAAACCGCCTGACGAGTCGCACTTACGCCATTCCTCTTCGGTGTCCACGGGATCCAGTACCTTCGAGCTTGACACCTCCGGGCTACCGTGCATATATATACATATAGGTTCAAACCAGGGTGGAAATCTGACTGTGCTGTACCTGCCAAGAAAAATAGACTTGGAATCCAAACGATGAACTGCCTTGGAATCCACGAGCAAAGTTGGAAGAATCGATTCCGGATTGATGAACCAGGGATGGGTCAAAACCCGGAGCCCCAAGACCACCTGGCTTGACCTTGCAAGTAGGTCAACCAAGGTATCCTGGTTCTGACACACACAGCCACACGGGGAGGGAACCCAAACAGTGATGATCACCAAGTCCCTCTGAACATCCATCTGAACTGAACTGAAAGAGGACAAACGATGTGCAACCACCAAACATGTGTGTCACTTGCAAGAGGACAAACAAACGGTGCAGGCAAAATGGTCCATCACATCACATCAACAAACCAAGCAAAGACCACCTGAGCAGTGGACAAGATGTCTTAAGTGCTACTTCAATAAAATTAAAGGGAGGCTTTGAACGCTGCTCGCCTGAATGAAACAGTTTCTTTTAAGGTTCACAACAGTCACCTGATCCCAGCCAACTCACCATATCTCGCCCATCAAACACGCTGTGGGAGACACATCAAGGCCCAAAGACCTCAAACGGTAAACATCGCTCTTAGCGTGGAGACCATTTTTTTGGCGGTCATGTCCAAAGACTTCCTTCATCCCCGCCATTCGACCGCACACATACGCAAACAAAGACTTGAGAGCTACTGTACCCTTCTTGAGGGATGTTCACATAAAACATAATTTTCCTTGATTCCATCAGGCGATGTGTTGTAACACGCAGCAGTCGACTCATGTCCTCAAAAGAACCGCCGATCCGATCCGAACGAGTTCGTTGTATGCGGGGAAGGCACCGTGCTAGTGTGCATTGGGAGATTCGAGACCAAATTCTACTTCATAGAGGCAGTATATTATAGTTGTAATATGCTGCAATTACATAGCCCCCAGTCAGTGTTATAGTATGTCAATGTATTTGAGGTGTACAGGTGTACATATTACTTCAAAGAGTTGCCGCCTCTGCAATTGACAAGTCTTCAGGACTGTAGAGAGTAGAGAGATACCTGTTTATGATCAGTCCAACCCAATGTTTCTGTGTCTAAGTTTAAGTAGATTCTTTCACCAGATTAAACAGCTATATATATATAATAGCTATATAAATTAATGGCATTTCTCATGAAAATGATGCAAAACTTCTCGTCTTGGCAGCTGAAAAACAGGTCTCTGCTGTCCCTTACATTGTGGTCGTTTCCAAGGTCTCCGGACGCGCGCTGCTCAAGACGGGCAGCCCGAAGCCTCAAGCACACGAAAGGGCTGGGAGATGATGACATGGACATGGACCGATGGCTTCCAACCTACTACCTTTGGACTCGACCGGCTGGCTGGTCCTGTTGTTTTCGACCCGCTTTGACGGTGTTCTTCATGGCACTCTTCTTCTAGGAGAAGCAATGTTGCGGGCGATCGTTGTTCAGAGCTAGCAGCCACAGAAACATTTTGTGTCACTGAAACACTATGGTGCCTATTTATGGCTACAGCCACAACTCACTTTTAGATAATGCTTAACTTTGTGGCTACTTACTTTAGACAATGCAATAAACATATTTCTGGCCTCCCCATCAACTTGTTTGCCACACAACTGATATTTTTGGCTTCAAAATACGTGTGTCACAGAGTATTGTCTAAAATCTCAACCCCACCATACCAGCATCGCGAACCAACATGTGCACCTGCCGAAGACTCAGATTTTGGAGTAAAATCTATCTTCCAAAGCTCCCCTCTCGATGACCTTGAATCGCTTTCCGATTATTTAGTCAAACACAGCACCCACCAAAAAAACAAAGCAGCTTCAGCATCGTCCAAACCTCTAAAGACTGGTCTGTCATGAAGACCCTGGCTTTCAGCCATAGCAGAAACGATCGAGCAAACAAATAAAGAACGCAACACGAAGCAGTCCCTCCCGAGAACTTCCACCTAGAACCTGCCGCACCCGGTTCCCCAAATTGGCCGCCCACATAAATCCACTTCCCAACAGGGAGGTCTCGGCAAATCACAAATTCTCCCGTCTTTCTGGCAAAATGTCCCACTATACTGATTGGCCCGCTGGATCCCGCATGACACATCGTCTTCACATGTCTTCACGTTGAAATCGGCTAGGATGTCCGGCGCTGACAAAGCTCCAGGATCAGGTAGGGGAAGATCTGTGCAGGAGCCGTTGTCACGCCCTAGACCATGAACCCCAAACTGATCCAAACTGGTCGGCCTCAACTCCAAGGATATCTACATATTAATCATATTATCCGCTTCAGGAAAAGGTCAATTTTGCGGAAAGATGCTTGGCTGGATCAAAATGATCAAAATTGTTTCCTGGATGATTGCCTTTTTCCACACATCCTTGCCCCCGGCGCACCGGTGCCAGCCAAAAGGAGAGACTCGCCCTGCCGCTGGCGGCTGGAAGATCGGCCTCGGCATGTGCTCCGCGGTTTGGTTTCATACAGAGAACAACTTGGCAACGAGCACACTTTGATGCTTTTTCGGTTAACCTGACAGTGGCCTTTCGTTTCCAGCTTTTGGACAAAAAGACGGTCACTCTGTTTTTACTACCACAAGGTCGTGCAGGGCAACGTAGGTTTCGTGATCGCTTTACTCAAACTATACTTACAGAAAAAACCCTAACAAAATGGATTTCCTTTCCAATGTGGTCTATCAAGATTCTTGAAGAACCTGGCAGAACCTGGCCAGTCTCTACCCGATCTCTGGCCGAGATGAAGAAAACACATTTGGTGCGCTTCCACGTCTTGATGGAGACGTCTGGATGGAGATGGGCTTAGAGTTCCGACGTACTTCCAAAGTTTGCAAATGCTTCCACCATCTGATGGGATACTCATGAGTGGATAACCTTGCATTTTTTGTCCATTATCTTTTTCATCCAGCACCACCATGGATGCCCCCAGCATCATCTCCAGGCCTCCTCATATCTCTCGCTCCGCCGCTCCTCTGCCCCGCGGCTACTCGCCGTGCCATGTTCACCGCTGCCCGCTCGGGCGCGGCGCGCTTGCCGGGCTTGCCACGCCGCGTCGGGCGAGCACAGGCCAGCGGCGCAGCGACCAAGGCGGGAGAACATGAGCACCATGACGGCGTCGGGGCGTGGTCGCAGCCGTTGTCAGGTGAGGAAGCACAGGCAGTTTCTGAGGTTTTTCTTTGGAAGCGCTGCCGATCTATAGGAAGTGAGCGACTTGCGCTCTGAAACTTGTTGGGCGACAAAGTGGTTGCTGGATCCACCAAGCTTGTGATTACCGTTACTTGGGATATCTTGTTGAACCAAATTCTCGCCAGAAATATCTTTGAGACTCGTTGTTAGAGAGAGCTCCATTTGTCTCAAAGGCTAATCGGTAGCAACAAACTGGAGGATGGACTAGAATCTCCAGGTTCGAGTCCGCCACCAGGTCTCAACTCCCATATCCAGGGCTCAACTTTACAACAACAAAGCAGTCTAGAGTTTTTAGACCAATTTAGAAGCTCCAGTTGACTTCGATAAAGATCTGTTGAATTTCCTCTCGCCCTTGAGCCATACTTCGCAGCGCTGATTTTGGAGCGACTTGAAGCCTTCCGAAGTGGATTCCTATATAATCCTATATGTAAACTCATTTATTTCGAGCATTTCCCTTACTGTCTGACTTGCCCAAAACATTCAGCTTGGCTTTGTGGGAACAAACGCAGTGAATCACTTCAACACTTGGTTATGTAACGATTTTGTCTTGCTTCTTCAATGGTGCCTTTTCAATCCGCTTCCCTTCTGAAACACATGCTGACCATGCTGACCCCTTCAGCTTGGCTTAGAATAACATGACGCAACAAGTATTTTTGATTGGCTCAGCGTTTTGAATGAACTTCCGGTCCTAAAGAGACCATCAGGATCAAAGTGTGACTCGCACCCTATATCTATCCTCCCAACAAAGGTAGAACACAAGAGGTGAAGAAATCTGCGCCATGGCCCTCAAACCTTCCGGGCACCCCTGTTCCAGGAAACAGCCCCAAAACCACAAGCACCTTCAGGTTACAAGGGCATACAATGCATACAAGGGTCATGTTGAGCATACGTATGCTCAAGATCTATCTGTCAAGGAAGGGAACCAAGATAAACAAGTGCTGAACAGTTCCACTAAACCGAGCACAGCGAGCACACCGAGCACAGGGATCGTCGCTTCGTGCCTGGCAACGATGAGCCTGAGGAGGCCGAGTTCACACCTGGGGCGAGGACAGCGAAGCGTTGCGAAGAAAGCGCCTCGCTGGGATCTTGATGGGACATTTCAGGGGGTCTTTCCTATGGAATCGGGAGACTGGACTTGATTTTCTCTGAGATGAGTCGTGAGATTGTCTACGACTTCTGGTCGCAGCATGATTCAATCAGTCCGCCGCATTTGGCGGTGTCTGGGTGGGTTGTTTACACCTATAGGAATATCGTTTAGTACTAGGACCCAGCAGGATTTTGCTGTTCTGGACGACCCTGACTATGCGGGTCACTACAAAGATTCGTCTGGTCTTGACCATTCCTGTCAGGTGATCACAGTGACCTCAAGTGTGCTCCTGCATCTGCAGCGAAGCTGCTGGGAACATTGCAATTGGGACATGCCCTTGTTACTAGTAGCTTCTTGTTCCTAGTAGTAATGCCAGAAGCTACTACTAGCGTCCTTGCTACTAGTAGCAATGCCCTTGTTACTAGTAGCTTGCTCGTTGGGACAAAAACGATCAACATTCTCCTCCTTGGTAACTAGCTCCTCCACTCCACTTGTCTCGGGTCCTCTTTTCAGCACACCATCGGCCTTTGTGGAGAGACCACACAACCGACACAGGTCGGCGTATACCATCGTATACCTCTTTCAAGCAGCTGGGCTGGGCCAACAGGAGCGGAGCGGCGTCTGTGGATCCGTTCGAAGTTGCACGCCAATCTGTGGATCCTTTCGCAGCTGCGAAAGGGGCTGTTGGATCCAGTCCCCCTCCCTCAGGTGGACGGGGGCGCTTTGGCGCGGCCGCTTTGGCGCGGCCAGGCGTTGACTCGCAGCGATTTCTGTCGCTCCCGGAACCGACTCCACAGAGATCCTGGAATATGCTGCTTCAAAACATGTTTGCTCATTGCCAAGCAAGTGGTGAGCTCGGACTGTGGTACTATTATGATCTATTATGCATCTGGCTGGCGCTGCTAACCGCAGCTTCTTGAACCTGTCATACATATTCGTACATATTGCAAAATGCATCTGGCTAGGGGTGTCCAATCACAACGCCTCCAAGTTTTTACCCGCCACTCCCCCATTCAGCACGACGCGCTTGCTTTGATGCCCGTGACTTGCTTTTCGAATCCGAACGTTCCACCTGTCCGGAGCCTGAAAAAACAAAACTCCATATTAATCCGGTACATTTCTGTACCTCTTTTTTGCGGGGCGGCCGTTGGCTGCCAGGCTCGTCGGTTTCAGCCCCCGGGCCGTGCCGGTCCAGTCGATCCACCGCGCCGGGAATCCTGCGATCCAAAAAAGACATCCAGCTGAGACAAGTAGGAGACTTTGATGGTATGTTTGGTGATGTTTGGTGTATAGAAGGATACACATTCTGGAAGGATACACCCATGTGGCAAAATTCTTAGGCCTTGTGTTTCCTTCCAGAATAGAACTGGGTTTGGGGGCCTTGTGTTTGGGATCCTCCGAGTCTTTTTCGCCATCTGCTCCGGGGAGATCCTCCGGGATGGGAAGATGATCGTCTGCTACTGTAGGTGCTTTGCTTTTTGTGGTTCTGAACCGTAAGAACCATGTAAAGAATGAGATGAACTGTCCTCTTGACTGAGTCATGCGCTCGATTTTTATAGAAAGCACCGTGCTACCCAACCTAAGGAATATCCCACAGAGGTGATGAATTGAATGCCAGGAGCCCCTAGTAGCGTCCTTGCTCCTAGTAGTAAGGCCAGGAGCCCCTAGTAGCTTCTTATTCCTAGTAGCGATGCCAGGAGCCCCTAGTAGCGTCCTTGCTCCTAGTGATGAATTGGCACCTTTTGAGATCCCGTGCCGGGGAGTGATGTCAGCGGGTGGTATGAGTGGGTGGCAAGGAATAGGTGGTATTGCTTCTCCTAGGCGCATCCACCATTCTTACAGGTTGAGCCCAGTCAAAGAATCCGTCATCCACTGAAATCCTGGGTGAAACATGAACCAAACGTGGGCTGTATCTCATAGCACCATTTACATGAGCCGGTATGTCCATTCTCTTGAGCACTCAGCCTAGTCTCAGTTCGTTGGTGGACCAATCACTTGCTGCCCAATCAAGATCCCATGAGATCTCTATCTTTCCGAATGTCCAGGCTTTCTAAGATAGTGTGGGTGCAAGAAAGATGTACAAACCATTTAGCTAATGCTTCCCCAAAGCAGAATCGGAATCACTCCTCAATTTGGATGAAGCCTTTCGGATTCACGTGTTGACCCTTCCCCTTCCACCCTTCGCAAACTCCCAAACCTGCGATTGGCACGACATTTGGACGCCCATTTGTTGCTAAAATAACTATATTAATATTAAGATACATTTTCCTTGTGGACATTGCACCTGTTCTCTTTCTGGGTCTATTAGGGCAAGTGTGGCCCTTGCACAAATTCAACAAAAACTTCCCCCAAACTCAACAAAATTCCTCTCGCAGAGTCGTCACGCCCATTGAATTCATTGGGCGCCCAAAGTTCTTTCCACCTTCAAGTAAGTGAACTTGCTGTTCGCCTTGCCCTCAAAACCTTCACCCATGCAGGCATCCCAAAACATAGGAAGTGAACTATATAGTCTACTTGATTCTACTTGCAAGCTCACTTCCTATGCTTTTCGACACCTGCATATTAGAGATATGTTAGACATTGTTAGACTATACGGTAGAGTCTGCGCGCTGTACACTTTCCACCTGCCATCTGAACCCCTTGCTGCCTGGAGTCCTCGCCTTGGCGAGCCAGGCAGAAACCCGTGAAGGGAAGACATCCGGCGTGACTTGGTAGGAAGGGTCTTCCAAATTCCACACAGTACTACAGGGTTCGGAGAGGAGTAGGAGTAGTTGTTGCGCCACAAGAAGGCCTCCCGGCCAAAAATCACAGGATCGAACCACACCGCTCTCTTTGGTTCTTCGCATGTTCTTATCCACCAAAACCAGAACTCCACAACGTGCAACTGGCAAATTAAGTACGAGTGTCATTGAATGTTATTTGTGATCCATTCAATATGAACCAAGTTCGGACCCTCCAAAGCCAATTGGTTACTGGGCTTTTGAGGGCTCCTCATCTTAACCAACAAAACCATTTATTATGTTCAAATCATCTATAATACCCAGCCCATGGCAAGCACAAACTCTTGCAATAATACAGGATGTTCTTGTTCGGGATGTTTGAGTCCAAGAACACACACACACCAGTCTTCTAAAACATTCTAAAACCATGCTCCCCTGAAGTCTGCCGCTTCTCGCGATTTCGGGTGTGGTTTTGCCATGCCCATCTCGTGGTCACACACGGCCGATTCCAACGAACCTGAGTCCGCCGGGCCCGTCGAGTCCGGGCGTGGCAACACCCGGCGGCCGCGCATCGACTGGCACAACGTGCGGAGGGGTGAGCAGGTTCTTCTGAGGCGTTCTACACGGGTAATGAGCAAAAACCTGAAGTGCTGAAATATGTTTTAACACATCGTAGCTTCAACCATCCCATCTCACAAACATGCTTCTCCCAAGCATTTGAGTCACAAGAAAAACTTTGTCCTAAACTCTGATCCCAAGGACAGATCATCGCAATTCCAAGCGGCGGTCTCTTTGTCAGCTATATGCACTTGATTCTGTGCTAGAATCTGTACTAACTATGCTGCTTTTACATGATGAACAGCACCATGTGGTCAACAGGTCAGTTTGAAGAAGTACTGATGTCGTTCAGATGTCGTTTAGGACTGAGGACCCGTCGTTCAAATCACCAACCATAAACATGAAAAAAACAAAAGTACCATCATGGATACACATATGTAACACAAAACATATGGACGTGTTTATATTAATATATATAGACATAGACTAAGTATGTCGTGTCCTTTCCAAGCTAAATACATTTCTTTCAAACTCAGTTAACCAACAAAAATAGTTGCGGCGGTGCAGCTAATTCTGACCCCTGGGATCGCCCACTACATATGCTCATCTTGCGGGGTATTTTTTCCGCTCATTTGGAGATAGGAGGCTCCAAGACACCTTGGGGACCTTGGGGTCTGAGGACTCAAAAAGAAGATCGTCACCCAGATCTTGCTTCCCAAACGTTCTGTGTCCTGGGCCCTTCAAGTGAAAATCAATGAACAAAAGCTGAGATTGAGGATTCTGGGCTGGTTTCAAAACATTATCTCTCCGAACTTGAAACATATCAAACAACTCCTTTGACCCAGTTCTCTTTGTCGGATTCCATCCTCGAACCACCCTGTCCAAACCTCACGTGGAAAATAAATAACTCTTTTGCCAAGAAGAGTGGTCTCCACGCCACTCATGCTCCTATGCCTGTCCTGGGGTGGCTATGTACCTGCCGTTGCCCTCTGAAGAGTCGAAGAGGAGCTCGACTTCTGGGATGCCTCATGTCTCAAAACTATTTTAAAAACACTCCGAACATGAACACGAACACACATGAACACATCATATATTCAAAAAGAAGTCCCTAGCCACCGCAGTGAGTACATGAGTTCTTCTTTTTTGGGGCCAGTCCGCCGTCTCGCCGTATCTGGCCGTGTCTGGCCTCCGGCCATGCCAAGTCAGGGCACGGAGCTGGCCTGGCAGGATCTGTGGATCTGGAAGAGGCGTTCAGGTGTAGGAAAACATCAGCTGTCGCTTGGAGGACTGTGTTCCCGGAAAATCTGGGTGCTGGAAGCACGACAAAAAGCTTTTGGTTGCATTCTCCAAATTCTCCAGGATCAGCATCCGGTTTGATAAGCCCAATTGCAACCAATCCACCTGGAACCCCACAAATCTGGCGATGGAGCGGACAAGAAGAGTGACCAGTCGATTTCGCTTGCGCCTGCTTGCGCCACAATATTGTCAACTACAGTATTGGTCGTCTCATACTGCCATTGCTTGGACAACACCTAGATCAAAACCTGTGCCGTTTGGAGCTGTTTGGAGTCCTCTTTCCACCGTCCTCCCTACGCTCCGCCTGGGTGGCACCGGCCGAAAGCGCGAGGGCCCCGAGGGTGGGGGCCGCGGCGAGCTGGCCGTGGAGGTGGTGCTGGAGAGGCTTTGACCTCGGTGCGGTGGTGAGTGGACGAGAAAGGACCTCAGTATGACTTGATAGCACCCTGGTATGCAATGTCAAAATAAGGCTACCAATGCCTGTGTTCATCATCAATGTTCCATCTACAAACAAATGACTGGAACATGTATGTTAAGTTCTACATACGTACACATACAGCGAATGCCATGCAACGGGTTTAAAGCCTCTTGCCTTTGTTTGGTGATCACCTTCCATCGTTGAGTGGTGCGACTTGGCGTGCCGCATCAGCAGAAAACGATGGGTCAAACATCTGTGCTCTGTTGTGAAATTGCACCTTTTAGAAGCGATGGCCTCCAACCTAATAGCGTGGCCTCCAGCCTAGGTTGGAGGCCATCTCTAATAGGTTGGAGGCCATTGCTTTTAGGATGCAAAACTCGTCTCCCAATCTTCCACTGTCCAGACTGGGGCCATAAACTGGTTTCCGACGCGATGGGCTCTGGCTGAGGCGGCCTGTGAATCAACATGTCAGGAATGGCGATGGAGTTGGGCAAAATTATGTTCAAAGAAATAGGTCAAACAGGATTTCCGCACTCAACTATTGATTCTATTATATTCTATTTGATTCTTATACAGGGGGCAGGATGGGCAAACCTTGCTTCAGGAAAGAAAGAACACTTCAGAGACAAATTTCAATTCTTCTATTCTTGGTCACCTCATTACAATGGGGCATGTCATGTTGATCAACATTCACCATTTTCAGCTCTAACATGCTTTAACAAACACTTTTTTAAGACCGGTCGCAAAATTATACCAGGCCAACTAAACTAAACATTGATGATCTGTATATATATATATATATACAAACGCAATATTACTTTTGATCACTCTGCTACCAGGGGGGTTGTCCCGCTTCCATTCTGCAGACCGCCCTCTTGGGCGAGCAGGGTTTGGTAGGTGGGTGACCGGAAGACTTGCCTATTTCCACAGGCCTTAGAAGTGGATCCATTTGATATGTCATTGAAAGCCTCTTGAGTTCTTCAGCATTCTGGTTTAACACCTGTTTCTGTGGTGTTTTTGGCCCTTGGCTGTGGGAAGAAGCACTCTCATCATTCCCTGGGCTGCCTTGGAGAGGTCCTTGGCTCCTGAAATTCCCTGGGCTGCCTTGGGGAGGTTCCCAGCAGCTCCCTTCAATCAATTTTGAGTCTCACTTGAAGGCTCTAAAAACCACAGAAGAACAAACCAGCACGGAACTCAGCACGGCCTTTATACTGTTCACTAAGACGTCACGAGCATACAATGACCCAAGTCTTCTGCGGCCTCGTCCTCCCCTATACAAGTGAAGCCTCTTGG